AGGGTTTATGTTGAGAAGTCTGCTGGATTCTGATATGATTTCTTTTATAGGTGATTTCTCTTTTCTCTAACAGGTTTTAATGGTCTATTTTTGTTTTGAATCTGGCATCCTATTATAATATGCCTTGGGTTAGTTTTTTTTTTAATCATGGTTAATTGTAGTTCTGTATACTTCACTAATCTATATGTCAAATTCTTTTTCTGTCCATGAGAAGTTTTCAGCAACTACTTGTGCAAACAAATTTTTTTTTTTTATTGGTGTTATCTCTTGCTTTTGTGTATTGACTACAGTCAATTTTATGTTGTTCTTTGTGTCATGTAGCAGCTGTTAAGACTGGTTTTTCAGGGCCGGGGAGGTGAATAGTAGAATAAGCGCTTCCCTGGCAAGCGCAAAGGTCCTAAGTTCAATCCACGGTTCTGCCAAAAAGAAAAAAAAAAAGACTGGTTTTTTGTAGTACCTTGCTATTTCTAAAAAAATCCTTCTTTCCATGATCGCTGACTAAATGCTGTCTTAATAGATCTGATATTCTTTTCTCACCTTAGTAAATTCTTTCAATTATATTTGTAGTCTCCTTGATATCTGATTTAATCTATTTCATGAGTTCAGTTTATTTCTGTGTTGAGCATTCATAATTCCCATCATTTTCCTAAATTCCTTTTTTTTTTTTTAATTTCTATGTTCTCTAGATTCAGTAGCCATGCTGAATTCAGTAGCCCTTTATTATGGTCATTATCTCTGAAATTATTTGAGAAATTATTTCTGATTTGATTCTTTTCTAGAGTCTCATTCATTTGCTTTAGTACTTCTGCTGTTAGCACTTCAAAGCATCTAGGTGGCTGACTTTCAAGTTTTTCCATCTCCTGTGAACTGGAAGTCTCAGTAAGGTTGCATCTTGTTTCCATGTCTCATTTTCTTTTCTTTTTTTATTTGTAATTCCTGCATTGATGCTTGTAAATTGTTTATTGTAGGTATCTTTATTACTACTATTGAGAACTGGTAGGAAATGACTATTTCTCCAAGACATGTTTAAGGTGTAGCTGACTTTGGGGTTTTGAATGTAATATCCTACCTTTTCAATTTATTGAGGGTGAGAAGTTGCTGCCTGTTTGGCCCAACTGTTGTTCCCTGACACTAGCCTACTCTTTTGTTTTTTTTACCTCAGGCAATCTTATTCTTGTTATATAAGGGAAAAAAAACTAATTAGGATAACTCATCTTGACTGAAGTAGAAAATCAGTAGTAATATTAGCATGACACATACTCTAGAAAATGACAGATGGTGGCAACTATTAATGTTCCACCCTTAACTTTATGAGCAAAATTTGTAGTTAATAATCAAATCTAAAACAAATCAAAAAATTATGTGCAGTGAATATCCCCTCAATATAGTAATTTTACCCTCAGGATAATTTGTAAAATGGATTAGGAAGGAAAATAGAGAAATAGAAGAACAAGAGAAAGTGATTAGAAGCAAGGCTGGACAACAAAGGAAGATATATGCAATTTTTTGAAACTGGTGAAGAAGACAGGAGGGGAAGAAGGAATTAACAGAAACTACAGAACCAAACAGCGACCCCCTAAAAAACTAGAAACAATGTTTTCAGCCATATGAAAAAAAACAAGAAAAAAAAAGAAATAAATGGAATTTTTTTAAAACAAAAAAGAAAATCAGAGAAAAATGTTCAGTTCAGGTTATGTGACATAACCCAGATCCATATTGATTGATCCCATCAAGCCATTGGGATTAGAATTTTGGCAGTGGTGATAGCACCAACAAACCTGGACCCTCAGTTCCTCTCCAGTTTTGGCTGTGAGGTGGTACCTAATTTTTTCAGCCTATAACACTCAAGGTGCTTCCTGCTTGTACTGGGGTCGGTATCCTCCTGCCAGCTTGAGCTTGGCTGCGCTTGACTCTTGGATCCTCTAGATGGAGCCAACTAATAGCTGCTCTGAGTCTAACTTCTTTTGGACCCTTTCCATTATGGATACTGGCCAGTTACAGGGGGCAGGAGGGGGATGGGGGGGTCAACCCTAATAACTCACCAACCACTACAGTCCACAGCACCCACTATCTTGCTCCACAGGTGTGTTTCTCTGTAGAGGCCTCTGGGGTTGGCAGTAGTCACTCTGTAAGTTTGAGCTGCCCTTTCCACACTGTGAGCCTGGGTTCATGGAGAAAGCACTGCTTACCACCTCCCTCTTCTGCATCGTGGTACCACTCTTTGCTCTCCCAATGAGCTCTAATTCTCACTTCAGATCTTTTTTGGTTCCCAGGGATACACTTTGGTCTTTCTCTTCATCAAGGTACTATATTCCAGCCTCTGGGTTCCAAACATCTGAGAGGCTGTTTTTGTGCTGCACACTGCTCCACCATCTTCCCAGAAGTCTTGTAACTATCACATTACAGTTATTCTAAATATAAGAAATACAGCAATATACAATATAGCCAAAGTCCCTGCTCACAAGAACATACAATTTAACAGAAGCCAATAATGCATAGATACATACTATGTCAAATGGTGATAACTTCTTTGAAGAAAAATTAATAGATCGAAGATAGAGTATGGTAGAGGAATTGAATGTTTTATATAGGAAAATAAAGGAAGGGCTCTAATAATGTGATATTCAAGCCTATTTCTCAAGAAAATGTGGGAGACTATACCACATAGGTAAATGAAGAGCAATGTTCAGGCAGAGAGACAACAAGTACAAAGGCCATGAGGTGTGGTTGACAAAGGGGCCAATGCAGCCAGATGAAAGTGAGTACTGAGTACGAGAGGGCAGTGAGGCCTGGAGTCATTCACAAGAATTTTCAGTTCTTGCTGTTGAGTCATGAAGACTAGTTTCTAACTTTGTATTATAGAATAACTGTAGACTTACAGAAAAATTATTTTTAAAAACCTGCAGAGTTCCTTTGTACCCACTTAGCCAGCTTCCCCTAATGTTATCATCCCATATAACCATAATATAATTATAAAACTAAAATAAATACCAGTACAACACTGTTACATACAAGCCATTTAGATTTCACTAGTTTTTCTTGTAATGTCCTTTGCTGTTCCAAGGTGTATTTCAAGGTTCCTCATTGCACTTAGTTGTCTGCTTTTACCCTCTCAAGTCTCTGACAGCTCCTTCATCTTTCTTTATCTTTTATTACCTTGACACTTGAAAATGTAGTGGTCAGAGGAGGCTGAGGCAAGAGGATCGCAAGTTTGAGGCCAGCCTGGGCAACTTAGTGCAACCTTCTGTTGTGGTTTAGGTTTAAGATAATCCCCAGAAGTCACATGGGTTTGGAGGCGGGACTTTTTTGGAAGCTAATTGAATCATAATGTATTGTCTGTTAAGATGAAAATAACTGGGGGTGTGGCTCAGGGAGTGTTGGGGGAGTACTGGTTAAAAATTGAGAGTTGCCCTGTGCTTTTTCCTGATTACATGATTCCTGTGCCTTTGTATGATTCCACAAAAGTTATGTGCCCTTCTCAATGTGTCATGTCAGGGGTCACAGGAATTCATTGTCTTCTTACTGATGATATTAATCCTGATTGCTTATGGTTTCTGCTGGGTTTCTTGTCTGGAATATTATTTTTTTTCACTTTGTAAATAATAAGAATCTTGGGAAGATACTTTGATATTATGCAGATAATCTTGTTTCTCAACTGTTACCCACTAACTTTAGCATCCATTGTTGAATCTTTACTACAGTAGTTATTATAATGGTATTCTAATGGTTATTTCTAATACTGCTCATTGCATTACTTATTTAGAATTTGTATGGACTGTCTCTTAACCCATATTTATTTACTTTATCTAATATGTCACAGTATGGACTAATGGCTATTTTATTTGCTTGATACAACCTAATACTATAATATGTTGTTCCAGTTTAGGAATTGAGAACTTTTTCAGGTTTGCTTTTGTGTCCATTTGAAGTGCTAGTTTATTAGCTTTAGTATTGTATAATGCTTCAGGACCAGCTTTATCTCCAAGAAACTCATGTTTCTTTGCTAGAGAATAATATTGAGAAACCAAGATCTGGTGCTAAATATATTCATTGTTACTAGGATGTCATTATTTCTATGTTCTCTTAGTGAAGAGTTTGAAAAATAAATACATATATTTGTGTATGTATGTTAACCTTTGTCTCTGTATCTATTTCTGCATATTTTTATAATCACATGTGATAATCTTCACTTTATGTGGACAGTGCTTTCAGTTGTTGTAGATGCAGAGTCATGTATCCACCACTGTAGCCATAATGCAAACAGTTCCGTCACTACTCTTTTTATAGTCGTGCCCCTTCACACCCTACGCCCATGGCAAACACTGGCTTGGTTTCCTTCCTTTCCCTCAGTTTTGCTGTTTCCAAAGTGTCATAAGTAAAATCATATTTCATTTTAAATGTGCCTTCTTTGCCATAACAGTGCATTTAAAGTTCCTTTAGTTTGTTGCTTTTTTTGTAGATGAGGAATATTACATTGTATGCATGCATATCTGTTTATTCATTTGCTGTTTGAAAGACATACAAATTGTTTTCTGTTTTGATTCCTTTGAGCATCTTGTTAAAAACAGACTGAAGTAGGTAGAGGAGAGTGAGGGCACATGTAGAGAGAGGCACAGAAACCAGAAGAGAAGTCACTTGCCCAGGCTTACATATGAAGTGGTAGAGGAAGAAATTGAACCCAAGCACTTTGGCATCAGAATCAATCCTCTTAACCACCAACTGATTACATGTGGGAGATAAGAATAAGTAAACCAAGCATGGCTCTTGAATGCAGTTGTCAGCTATTTAATTTAGTGACATAGAGGATGCAAAAGAAGTGAATACGAGTTCAGTTTTAGATACACTGAGTCTTAGCATATAGATGATACCTCTAGTTAAAGAAATTCACTACTATCTGGAGTTTGGAGTGGACTAAGTGGGAAGTTATCACTATTTTAAGGCATTGGAAGCCATAGTTTTCTTTATTATTTTCATTTTCATTTCTTTTTTCCCCAAAACTCAGGCCTCAGTTCTGCAAAGTAATCAGAATATGCATGCTGTTTCATACATGGTGTCCAGAATTAAAGGAATTTATCACAGTCTTCATGATTTTAAAGAGTACACACAGTAGTAGATATTTTTACCCAGGTAAAATGGTGACATGTAAAAGAATAAAGATACGTAAGCATACAGAGCAGTATCATGAAATTCAAATGAGTTTCCAAAAGTTTCAGATACAATATCAGGAAGAGGTTATGTTTACAAAGGATTTAGTGTCCCATTTCAGTATGGAGACTGATATTAGTGAGAATAGTTCCATAGAGTAGAAGAGAATTAAAACTTTAGACTTAATCAGAGTTGAAGAGAAATGGCAGTGTCATAACACCTACTTTTGAGGAAAACAGGACATCACTGGCTTGAAAGAAAAAGAAATGCTTTTTTTATTTTTTTGCAATAGTTTATATTAATTAGAAAGGAGAGACAGGACAGGATAGTCTATGCACAGCTCCCAGACTGTATAGCTTTATACAGTCAAGGTATACGAGGCCAGACTCCAGTGCTGGTGGAAAATGTAGTTTTTGTTGCAGGAAGACTGCTTCTAATAAGTTTCCAGAGACTGCAGGGTGCATTGAGGAGGTAAATTTTTCTTTCTTTCCTTTTTTTAATGTGTTTGGTACTGGGTCTCACTGTGCAGTCTGGATTCGTAGTGCTACTCCTCTTTTCAGCCTCCCCAGCACTGGGATTACAGGCATGTCAGGACTTGGTGGCCAGCTCAACTTGCCCAGGGGCAGGACCAGCAGCCTGTGGTGTTGGGGACCAAACCCCATCCCTGTGCTTGCCTAAGTAGGCACTTAGTCCACTGAGCTATCTCACCAGGTTGGTAAATTTCATTGAAAAGACCCCAAGGTCTAAACAAATGTTACTGATATTCAGCTTAATGCTTTTACTTGCTGTGTAATTTCAGTGAAAAATAAATAATTGAACCTTAGTTTTAAGGTTTGGGACTTCTTTAGGCTCTAAAGATGCATCCTATTTTAATACAAGAACTGTTGGACATTTTCTTTACTATGTATTAGAGTATTTGATATGTACTCATGAGCTAATTTTACAAGATATAGAAGTAGTTTACAATATATATGTGATTGGAGAGACGATTTCCCCAATGATATGTCCAAGGCCATGTAATAATTTGCTTATACAGTCTACCATAAAACACAGACATATATTCCATATATTGGCATTTTTCTATTGGCTGGAGTAGCTTTTATTGTAATATGGTGAATATTGCTTAGAGACTATCCTAAGGCCCTTAGAAAGGTAATTTCTTGAATGCAAACTTTATTCACTAAGTTCCTAGTGTTTGTGGGAAGGAAAGGAGGGAGGAAGGGAGAGAGGGAGAGAGAGAAAGAAGGGAAAGAAAAGAAAAGACAGGGGCCAGGGAGATGGCTAAGTAGAATAAGTGCTTGCCTGGCACGCCCAAGTGTCTGAGTTCAATCCCCAGTTCCGCCAAAAATAAATAAATAAATAAAGTTATAAAAAAAATTACTTTAAAAAAAAAAGTATAGAATTGTTGTTTTGCATGAAAGATCAAACTGGAGGGCCGGGGAGATGGCTCAGTAGAATAAGCGCTTCCCTGGCAAGCACAAGGGTCTGAGTTCAATCCCCGGTTCCCCCCCCAAAAAAAAAAAAAAATCAAACTGGAGTGCAGTTGTGGTCAGAACCAAGTGACCGCCAGCTCCACTTGTCTCTTGCCGTCGGGTAGCTAACAAGGACAAGAGTTACCAGCTGCTGCAGGTGCTTCTGCAGCCAGGAGACTCATCCTCTTCCTGAGGGGGCCTACTCCCTATAGGGCCACAGCAGAGACATCGGGACATGCTTTGGGGCACACGTGCAATGCCTTTTTACTCAGAAACACTTTGAACCCCTTCTTGGTGTTAGGGGTGGATCGCAGGGTGCTGCATGTGCTACACGGAGGCTCACCCCTGAGCTACCT